TGGGAGTGAAGCGAGAGCGATTGGTCAGGGACCTCCACGACGGAAAATTGCCTGCTCCATGATCTGCACAGGTGCGGCTGTTTTCGCTTCATGGGGCTACAGACGTCCGGAACGAGGCATTTTCTTCAATGTAAAGACGTCATTTGTGAGTTCATGGACCTGCAATTATGCTGGAAAGTGCATGGGAGTGAAGCGAGAGCGATTGGTCAGGGACCTCCACGACGGAAAATTGCCTGCTCATGATCTGCACAGGTGCGGCTGTTTTCGCTTCTTGGGGCTACAAACGTCCGGAACGAGGTTTTTTCTTCAATGTAAAGACGTCATTTATGAGTTCGTGGACCTGCAATTATGCTGGAAAGTGCCTGGGAGTGAAGCGAGAGCGATTGGTCAGGGACCTCCACGACGGAAAATTGCCTGCTCCATGATCTGCACAGGTGCGGCTCTTTTCGCTTCATGGGGCTACGAACGTCCGGAACGAGGTTTTGTCTTCAATGTAAAGACGTCATTCGTGAGTTCGTGGACCTGCAATTATGCTGGAAAGTGCCTGGGAGTGAAGCGAGAGCGATTGGTTAGGGACCTCCACGACGGAAAATTGCCTGCTCCATTATCTGCACAGGTGCGGCTGTTTTCGCTTCTTGGGGATATGAACGTCTGGAACGAGGTTTTTTCTTCAATGTGAAGACGTCATTCGTGAGTTTGTGGACCTGCAATTATGCTGGAAAGTGCCTGGGAGTGAAGCGAGAGCGATTGGTCAGGGACCTCCACGACGGAAAATTGCCTGCTCCATTATCTGCACAGGTGCGGCTGTTTTCGCTTCTTGGGGCTACAAACGTCCGGAACGAGGTTTTTTCTTCAATGTAAAGACGTCATTTGTGAGTTCGCAGACCCGTATTTATGCTGGAAAGTGCCTGGGAGTGAAGCGAGAGCGATTGGTCAGAGACCTTTACGACGGAAAATTGTCTGCCCCATGATCTGCACAGGTGCGGCTGTTTTCGCTTCTCGGGGCTACAAATGTCCGAAACGAGGTTAGACGTCATTTGTGAGTTCATGGACCTGCAATTATGCTGGAAAGGGACTGGGAGTGAAGCAAGAGCGATTGGTCAGGGACCTCCACGACGAAAAATTGCCTGCTCCATGATCTGCACAGGTGCGGCTGTTTTCGCTTCATGGGGCTACAAACGTCCGGAAAGAGGTTTTTTCTTCAATGCAAAGACGTCATTTGTGAATTCATGGACCCGCAATTATGCTGGAAAGTGTCTGGGAGTGAAGCGAGAGCGATTGGTCAGGGACCTCCACGACGGAAAATTGTCTGCTCTGTCAGAACTAGCTGTAGGAAAGTAAGAATGAAGAAAAGGAGGGGTTGCACTAGCAACAATGGTGGTACAAATAGCTAACCCTAGAAGGGTTGTACTCGCTATAGAGCACCCCACTGCAGGCTAGAGCATAATATTCTGACACACCCCCATAGTCAAAGTGGGGTGTAATCAGCAGAGCAAGCAAAGTAGTACAAGCTCAGGGTGGATCACGATGTCACCACACATTCTGAGCACAAGCAAGAAGCAATAGTTTAAGGTTCACAATTATGAGCAAAGCTAGAGGCAGTCACAGGGGGCAAGTGAGGAGGAGGAGGGCTGGTGAGAGGAGAGTAGATAGGAGGCGACGACTGAAGATGCAGACACACGGGCAACAGACGGCTCTGGTGCGACAACGTGGCTACCGGGAATGAGTGCCCCGGAGTACAGGAGTAACAGGCTCCGCGGCTAATATGCGCGGCAGGAGCAACGGACCCACAGGCGACGGCGCAACCGGCTCTCTGAGCTACCGGGAATGAGTGCCCCGGAGTACAGGCGCTGCGTACGACACGACGGCAACCTCCGCTCAACCTCCCCCAACAGTCCCACACCCCTCGACACACACCCCCTGCTGCGCCCCTAGCTCCACTCCCCCTTCACCCCCCTAGGACCACTCCTTCGGCTCCCCACACAACCACCCCCCTGAGCGGCAGCTGCAGCAGCGGGAGACGGAGGAGGAGGAGAAGGAGGGGACGGGGCACACAACCGGCACCCCCACACCCGCCACCCCCACACTCCACATCCCCAAACCCTAAAACGGGTGGGATAGGGGCAGGAGCACGGGGGACGGCTAGAGGAGGACGGACGAGGCGCGCGCAGGCTGCCCGCGCCGCGCGCTGGCCTGGCGCAGCCCGTACGGGCAGCGCGCGGGCCTGGCGCCGCCCGTACGGGCCGCGCGCGGGCTGTACGGGCCGCGCGCGGGCCTGGCGCAGCCCGTACGGGCCGCGCGCGGGCCTGGCGCAGCCCGTACGGGCCGCGCGCGGGTCCCAGGGGCGCTTCGACGGGCGACGGGGGGAGGGCGCTTCGACGGGCGACGGGGGGCACTTCGACGGTGGGAAACCGCCGCGCGCCTCGGGGCGCACGGCGGGCAGAAAACCGCCGCGCGCCCCGAGCGCACGGCGGGATGAAAACCGCCGAAACCCTAAAAACGCCGCGCCTTGCGAGCGCGCAGTAGGCAGAAAACGTCGCGCGCCTAAACAGGACAGCAGCGGAAGCATTAGGTGGCGGGCCCACCCACAGGATCGACCCAGGAGGGTCGACCTGCTCTGATAGCATGTCAGAACTAGCTGTAGGAAAGTAAGAATGAAGAAAAGCCCGCAATTATGCTGGAAAGTGCATGGGAGTGAAGCGAGAGCGATTGGTCAGGGACCTCTACGACGGAAAATTGCATGCTCCATGATCTGCACAGGTGCGGGTGTTTTCGCGTCTCGCGGCTACAAAAGCCCGAAACGAGTGTGGAAGGGTTGCGAGCATCATCGGTCATCGGATCCTTCCGCGTTTTGAGGCTAGAAGTGCTCGTTCTGAGCGTTTTTCTTCCACCGGGTCACGTGGCTGCGCTTGTCTGGGCCTACTGCCAAGCCAGCAAGGGCGTGGGAGGGTTGCGAGCATCATGAGTCATTGGCGCTCGCGAATGCAGAGCGACCGCTGCACTTCCTACACATGTGCGGATCCTTCCGCGTTTTGGGGCTGGAAGCGCTCGTTCCGAGCGTTTTTCTTCCGCCGGGTCACGTGGCTGCGCTTGTCTGGGCCTATTGCCAAGCCAGCAAGGGCGTGGGAGGGTTGCGAGCATCATCGGTCATCGGCGCTCGCGAATGAAGAGCGCCCGCTGCACTTCTTGCACATGTGCGGATCCTTCCGCGTTTTGGGGCTGGAAGCGCTCGTTTCGAGCGTTTTTCTTCCGCCGGGTCACGTGGCTGCGCTTATTGTCAGAGGTCCACTGGTGATCCCCGATTGATCCTAGGGAAGGGTTACAGGCATGGCGGCCTGGGGGGTTATGGGCGCACTCACCCGCTATACAAACAAGCCCTTTTATCCCAGTGGTTAGTGACTGGGATTCTGACATGGTATCAGAGCGAAGGTCTCGGGTTCGATTCCCGGTGTGTGCACTTCGGGCATCCCAGTGCGGGGGGGTGTCAGAGGTCCACTGGGGATCCCCGATGATCCTAGGGAAGGGTTACAGGCACGTCGGCCTGGGGGGTTATGGGCGCACTCACCCGCTATATAAACAAGCCCTTTTATCCCAGTGGTTAGTGGCTGGGATTCTGACATGTTATCAGAGCGAAGGTCTCGGGTTCGATTCCCGGTGTGTGCACTTCGGGCATCCCAGTGCGGGGGGGTGTCAGAGGTCCACTGGTGATCCCCGATTGATCATAGGGAAGGGTTACAGGCATGGCGGCCTGGGGGGTTATGGGCGCACTCACCCGCTATACAAACAAGCCCTTTTATCCCAGTGGTTAGTGACTGGGATTCTGACACTTATCTGTGCCTGTTGCTAAGCCAGCAAGGGCGTGGGAGGGTTGCGAGCATCATCGGTCATCGGCGCTCGCGAATAAAGAGCGCCCGCTGCAGTTCCTGCACATGTGCGGATCCTTATGCGTTTTGGGGCTAGAAGCGCTCGTTCCGAGCGTTTTTCTTCCGTCGGGTCACGTGGCTGCGCTTGTCTGGGCCTTTTGCCAAGCCAGCAAGGGCGTGGGAGGGTTGCGAGCATCATCAGTCATCGGCACTCGCGAATGAAGAGCGCCCGCTGCACTTCCTGGACATGTTCGAATCCTTCCGCGTTTTGGGGGTGGAAGCGCTCGTTACGAGCGTTTTTCTTCCACCGGGTCACGTGGCTGTGCTTGTCTGGGCCTATTGCCAAGCCAGCAAGGGCGTGAAAGCGTTGCGAGCATTATCAGTTATTGGCGCTCGCGAATGAAGGGCGACCGCTGCACTTCCTACACATACGGATCCTTCCGTGTTTCGGGGTTGGAAGCGCTCGTTCTGAGCGTTTTTCTTCCACCGGATCACGTGGCTGCGCTTGTCTGGTCCTATTGCCAAGCTAGCAAGGGCGTGGAAGGGTTGCGAGCATCATCGGTCATCGGCGCTCGCGAATGAAGAGCGTCCGCTGCACTTCCTGCACATGTGCGGATCCTTCCACGTTTTGGGGCTGGAAGCGCTCGTTCCGAGCGTTTTTCTTCCGCCGAGTCACGTGGCTGCGCTTGTCTGGGCCTCTTGCCAAGCCAGCAAGGGCATGGGAGGGTTGCGAGCATCATCGGTCATCGGCGCTCGCGAATGAAGAGCGCCCGCTGCATTTCCTGCACATGTGCGGATCCTTCCGCGTTTTGGGGCTGAAAGCTCTCCACATACAATTGCATTCATTGCATTTATTGCATTTTCTAAGTGATGGGTTCTATTGAAGGGATTTTCTTTTACATTATTTAGGCTTGAGTGGAGTGGGGGCAAGGCAATTGCGGCCGGGAATTCACGAGACTGAGCAAATTGGTAACCACAGCACGCATTGGTTTCGCATGGAAAAGACGCCCAAATTTTAAGTGATCTGAACTCCAGTGCCCACCTTTGAGGATTCGAAGGATTCTGCTTACCAGGCGTAAGAAACTGTTGCCGTCTGTCGCAATTAACCGCCTGAAGTTCCGCATCGCGCGAGTGTTTATGTCACCAATCGCCGTCCCCGTCGTGCGATCCTCGCCAGTCCCCTTCACTTCGCGCATTGCCCCTTTCTTCCGCGTTCGCCTCCACAATCTCCCGCTCAATCCCACTTTCCGCCTTCCCTCCTCTGCCCGTATAGGTTTCCGCGGGCGGCAGCCTTTTCCCCGTATCCCTCCCGCCTCCACCGCCTCTCGCGTGGGCGCCCTTCGCATTTCCCCACCAGCTCCCTTTGGCGCAATCCGCTCGTGGCGGACTCGCCACTCCGCACCCGCGGAAGCAGGAGGCGCAGCGGAAGAGGAAAGCGCGCCTGAAGAATTCGCATGTGCGGGGGAGGGAGTTGAGGGGAGGGTTTGGGAAGCAGGGGGAGAGAAGGAGGGAGCGGGTACAGGGTTCAGGGTAGACGGGGGCGGAAAGGAAGGAGTAGGTGAGAGCGGGGAAAAGACTGCGGAGGGGGTAAGCGGAGAGGAGGAAGGCGGAGAGAAGGGGGACGACGAGGAGGGGACGACGGGGAGGGCGGAGAGGATTGGGAGCGAATGGCGGCGACAGAGGAGTCAGTGGGCATATGCTGCTATGCCAACGACCTGCCCGGCATTCACGGCGTGCTCAAACAGAGGTGAGGCGGAGGCATGCTGGGCCGGGCGAGTCAGCTGCAGCCCTCTTGATCCCCTCTTGAAGCCTTGCAAATCCCGACGGATTCGGTTACCCATGGTCCGTGTGACCATATGTATCACGGTCACACACACACGGTCACCCCGATGGATTGTGTTTCACAGCCCGTGTGACCACGTGTGACCACGTGTGACCACGTGTGACCACGTGTGACCACGTGTGACCACGTGTGACCACGTGTGACCACGTGTGACCACGTGTGACCACGTGTGACCACGTGTGACCACGTGTGACCACGTGTGACCACGTGTGACCACGTGTGACCACGTGTGACCACGTGTGACCACGTGTGACCACGTGTGACCACGTGTGACCACGTGTGACCACGTGTGACCACGTGTGACCACGTGTGACCACGTGTGACCACGTGTGACCACGTGTGACCACGTGTGACCACGTGTGACCACGTGTGACCACGTGTGACCACGTGTGACCACGTGTGACCACGTGTGACCACGTGTGACCACGTGTGACCACGTGTGACCACGTGTGACCACGTGTGACCACGTGTGACCACGTGTGACCACGTGTGACCACGTGTGACCACGTGTGACCACGTGTGACCACGTGTGACCACGTGTGACCACGTGTGACCACGTGTGACCACGTGTGACCACGTGTGACCACGTGTGACCACGTGTGACCACGTGTGACCACGTGTGACCACGTGTGACCACGTGTGACCACGTGTGACCAAGTGTGACCATGTTACCGCTGTGCCCCCCGCAATGCTGTCCTGGGAGCACCACCACAGCCATGGCACAGTGGTGCATCTCACCCACCTGCACGTGCCCCCCGTGCTGCTGGCGCAGGAGCAGCAGGCGCAGTACATCCAGCCCCCTCTGCTCCCCCCTTTCCCCCCCCCCTCTCCCCTCCCTTCCCCATGCCCGCCCCCACAGGTTCGCAGATTTTATCGTGAATGAGGTCGCACCAGATGGCACAGTGGTGCATCTGACCCACCTGCACGTGCCGCCCGCACTGCTAGCCCAGGAGCAGCAGGCGCAGCAGCAGGCGCGCAGGCGCGAGGCGGAGAGTCTGGGGGAGCTGGTGGACGCGCAGGGAGTGCTGGCGCAGCTCCGCCAGGCGCTGGGGGGAAGCGGGGAGGGGGGAGAGGGAGGGGGAGGGGGATTGCGCGATGAGGAAGATGCGAGGAAGGTGGTGCAGCTGCTGGAGGGGATTAGGAGCATTCAGCTGTGGTGGAAAGAGAAGAAAGGGGGAGGAGGGGAGGGAGGAGTGGAGGGAGGAAAGGAGGGAGGAGAGGAGGGCGCTGGGGGGAAAAAGGCGGAGGGGAGCGTGCAGGGAGGGGAGGGGGAAGGAGTAGAGGCAGGGAAGGGGGCTCCTCCCCCTATGCCTGAGCCGGTGGTGTTTGCTCCAAGTGCTGACAAGGCGTACCGTGCTGTGAGTTGCTGACGTGGCTGGACAGGATTGGGGAGTTTCATGTCATGCTTATACCTGCATGCATGCACTGAGTGTGACGCGCCCCTTCGTGCACACATCCCCTTCTGAGTGTGTTGCACCCCTTCTTGCTTTCTCCCTCTCCCTCGCTCGCATCCCCACTCTCGCTTTCCAGTGTTGAGCCTCTGAGAATTAATTATTATCTCCCAACTGCCCCCCGCCCCCCCTTTCCCCACCACCACCACCACCACCACCACCACCACCACCACCACCACCACCACCACCACCACCACCACCAGGCCATGCACGCGTTTTTCAAGGCCTTCCCCATTCTCGTCTCTGATACCATCGACGCCCCTCAAGGCCCCCCCTACCGCTGTGTGCGCCTGCGCTTCCTCCCCCCGCCCGCCCTCAACCTCAAGGGCGGAGGGGGCGCGCAGGGGAGCGCGGACGAGGGGGGGAAGGGGGGCAGAGGGGCGGGGATGGGAGGGGGTGGCGGGAGGGGCGCTGGGGGGGAAAGAGGGGGGGACGGGGCGGGAGGTGGGGGAAGCGGGGGAGGGAGGAGTGGGAGGGTGGGGATAGGAAGAGAGGGAGGAGGGATGGTGGTGGTGATGGGGATGGGGAGGATAGGGGGGAAGAGGGGGATGGCGGAGAGGGGGAGGCGCAGGGGGGGGAGCAGGGGGAGGAGGATCAGCCGGCGTTTGACAGGAGGGGGAGGAAGGGCGCGGATGGGGTTCCTGCAACCACTGCCCGCCGCTTCCTCATGTGCGTGGCGTGGGTTGCATGAATTGGGCTGGGTGTGCATGGCATGTCGTGCGTGGAGTTCGGTTAGGCTGATGCATGGATGCATACATGCACTTTTGCATACATGCAGTTTTGCATACATGCACTTTTGCAAACATGCACTTTTGCATACATGCACTTTTGCGTACATGCACTTTTGCGTACATGCACTTTTGCGTACATGCACTTTGCGTACATGCACTTTTGCATACATGCACTTTTGCATACATGCACTTTTGCATACATGCACTTTTGCATACATGCACTTTTGCGTACATGCACTTTTGCATACATGCACTTTTGCATGCACTTTTGCGTACATGCACTTTTGCGTACATGCACTTTTGCGTACATGCACTTTTGCGTACATGCACTTTTGCGTACATGCACTTTTGCGTACATGCACTTTTGCATACATGCACTTTTGCATGCATGCACTTTTGCATACATGCACTTTTGCATACATGCACTTTTGCATACATGCACTTTTGCATACATGCACTTTTGCGTACATGCACTTTTGCGTACATGCACTTTTGCGTACATGCACTTTTGCGTACATGCACTTTTGCGTACATGCACTTTTGCATACATGCACTTTTGCATACATGCACTTTTGCGTACATGCACTTTTGCGTACATGCACTTTTGCATACATGCACTTTTGCACGCACTTTTGCGTACATGCACTTTTGCGTACATGCACTTTTGCGTACATGCACTTTTGCATACATGCACTTTTGTGTACATGCACTTTTGCGTACATGCACTTTTGCATGCATGCACTTTTGCATGCATGCACTTTTGCATGCATGCACTTTTGCATACATGCACTTTTGCATACATGCACTTTTGCACGCATGCACTTTTGCACGCATGCACTTTTGCGTACATGCACTTTTGCGTACTTGCACTTTTGCATACATGCACTTTTGCGTACATGCACTTTTGCACGCATGCACTCTCAGAAGAGTACCCGTCCCTTGACCCTCCTCCTTCTCCCCTCCCCCTCTCCACCCCATTCCACATAGTCAAGGAGAGCAAGCACACCAACGAGTGAGGCCATGGCGCTGGTGGGGTGACCACCTCATCTCATCCCCACGTCTCTGCACATGGCTGCTGCTTATCCGCGTCTCTCTACTCATCCCCCGCCCCCAACACAACCCCCCACCCATCCCACCAGGTTCCACGTGCTCAAGGAGAACAAGGACACCAACGAGGCCATGGCGCTGGTGGGGCGCTACCTGGGCGTGCAGCCGCGCGCGCTGGGCTTCTCCGGCACCAAGGACAAGCGCGCCGTCACTGTGCAACGGGTGGGTGGGTGCAGAGCGGTTGTAAGGGGTGCGTGCCAGTACTCACACGGATGGGTTGAGAGCTGAACAGATGGGTTGAGAGCTGAACGGATGGGTTGTCGGTGTCAGGGCCTGGTGGGGCGCTACCTGGGCGTGCAGCCGCGCGTGCCGCTGGGCTTCTCCGGCACCAAGGACAAGCGCGCCGTTACTGTGCAGAGGGTGGGTGCAGAGGGGTTGTAGGGAGTTGGGGGAGTTTCGGGTGGTCACATGCAGGGACATAGGTTCTCAGGCACCAAGGACAAGCGGGTCGTCACCGTGCAGAGGGTAGGTGCAGAGGAGGGGCGGGGCGGTATTGGCATCTCTCACTGCATGGCTGTTGTGTGACCATGGCGTGCCATCCATTTGCCACGCCACACCACACCACACCACACCACACCCCACCCCACCCCACCCCACCCCACCCCTCCCTTCCCCCACCACATCACACCCCATTCCTACACACCACCACCACCCATGCGCCAGCAGGTGACAGTGAGCAACCAGTCGGCGCGCAAGGTGGCAGCACTCAACGCCAAGCTGTTTGGCATCCGTGTGGGCGATTACCGCCTCGTGGACCAACCTCTTGTGCTGGGGCAGCTGGCAGGCAACCGCTTTCTTGTCACGCTGAGGTGCGCAACCCGCTCCCCCCTCCCCCCTCCCCCTCTTGGGAGACCCTTGAGCTGTTTGGCATCCGAGTGGGCGACTACCGCCTCGTGGACCAACCCCTCGTGCTGGGGCAGCTGGCGGGCAACCGCTTCCTTGTCACCCTCAGGTGGGTGTGCTTTGCAAGCCCCCAGTGCTGCTGATGCCACTATGGCACACAAGTCCACCATGCCATCACACTGCCCTCCCCCCTCCATGCTCCATGCTTCTCCCTCTCCTCTCCGCCTCCACCCGTTCCCCAGGGCCGTGAGAGCGCACAGTATAGACGCCATAACAGCAGCAGCGGAGGGCCTTCGCTCTCACGGCATCATCAACTACTTTGGCCTTCAGGTGGGTGCTGCTGCAGGTGGGTGCTGGTGCATATATCTACTCGCTGTCAGTCATCTCGTTCAATGCGTGTTTCTCTCAGCCACTTGCTTTTGCTGCCGCCAACTCCGCCGCCAGCGCATGAGCTCTCATTCCTCTTGACTTCCCACTCTCACCCTTGCCCTCCCTGCCCCGTGCCGTGTGCAGCGCTTACGAGTGGGTCCGGTGGCAACACACGCGGTGGGAGCATTGACGAGCTCACTCAATGCCCTCATGTGAGCAGCGCACATGACGAGCTCACTCCACTCCACTGCACACCTCAACCACCACTCTCCACCCTTCCCACCTTTTTGGCCCTCATGTGAGCAGCGCTTTGGAGTAGGTCCGGTGGCGACACACACGGTGGGAGCAGCGCTGCTGAGGGGCGACTGGCAGGGCGCCGTTGACCTGCTGCTCAAACCCAGAGATGGAGATATCCTCTTGACTTTCTCGCCCTCCTCGCTCACCTCGCCTGCTTGCCCATGCTTTGCTTTGACATGTCGTGCTGTGCTGTGCTGTGCTGTGCTGTGCTGTGCTGTGCTTTGCTTTGCTTTGCTGTGCGGCACTGTCCTGTGCCTTGCTGCGTTGCTCAAACTGCAATGCCTGTCCAAGTCCTTCGCATTTCGTCAGTGTGCCTCAAGAGTCAAAACTTTCTCTTCAAGAACTCCTTACATCAGAAAGAGTCTGCTTCGCGTGTGTCTCTGACATATCTCTACCCAACGCTGATCTCAACTTTTCATATCTCTACTCAATGCTGCATCTCAACCATTCATCTCACCACAATCGGAAGGAGCGGCAGAAGCCAGACGCCTGTGGATGAAGACAAAAGACGCCGACCTTGCCATGATCCACATGCCGACCAGAATGGTCGCTGAACGAGGAGTGGTGAGTCACACTCGCATCGTCCCCCTCTCAGCTCGTTCCTGATTCTTCACTCTTTGCTCCAGAACTACTTGTTTCTCTCCCTTCTGGAAAGCTGGTTTTTGAGAATTCTCAAAAACCCTCTCAGCTCGTTCTTGATTTCTCCCTCTTAGCTCTAGAACTACTTGTTTCTCTCCCTTCTGGAAAGTGCACACTCCAATCTATAGTCCTCCGTTCTTCTAGGAACTTCCTTCTTTTTGCTCCCCACCCCTTACGTCCCCTTCTCCAACCTCCCTTTCTTCCCGGCAGCTGTCAGGGCTGAAGCGCAACCCGCGCAATCTGGTACAAGCGCTGGGTTTCATCCCGCGCACCATGCGCCTCATGTGAGTGAGCTGTCCCATGTGGTTCTCCTTTCACCACAAATTCCTCCCTCTGCTTGGCAAGCACCTGGGGGAGGCGTCGCTGTGCCACGACCAGGTGCGTGGCACAGCGACGCCTCCCCCTGTTCGCTCAGATAATTTCCCCCCTCTCTGCCCCATGGCAGGTACGTGCACGGTTATCAGAGGTATCGGTGGACTAAGAACCTCTTTTTTCTCCCCTTCACTCCTTGCCCCCTCTCCCCCATCCCCATGGCAGGTACGTGCACAGCTATCAGAGCTTCCTGTGGAACCATGCCGCCTCACACCGCATCAAGACATATGGTGAGAGAGACATATCGCGCTGCACCGCATCACACCGCGCACTCTCCTCATGTAACCCACCAGCACCGCCTTGTGACCCTTGGTGTGTGTGTGTATCATGCCACCGCACTGCATCGCACAGCACTTCACCAAGTAGCACCACATAACCGCATGGTGCTGCACTGCTTCAAGACACAAGGCTTGCCACACCCTACCCCTCCTCCTCCTACCCCTCCTCCTCCTACCCCTCCTCCTGCCACCAAATCATCGCACCCACTTCAACACTTGCATGCTGTATTTTCTGCCCCCTCCATCCACCTTTGCTTTAACTGCAGGCTCCACCCGAGTGGTAGCTGGTGACCTTGTGCTCTGCATTCCCTCCCTCTGTACCCACAACCACTGCACTGCACTGCACTGCACTGCACTGCATCACGTGCTTACCTGTTCCTGCCCCCACCAACCGCCTCTGCCTTCCATGCAGGCTCCACCCGAGTGGTAGCAGGCGACCTTGTGCTCTGCTCCCCTCCCTCTGCATCCACCACCACCGCACTGCACCACGTGAATACCCGCTACATGTCCTCTCCTCCCCCCAACACCCACCTTTGTTTTTACTGCAGGCTCCACCCGCGTGGTAGCAGGTGACCTTGTGCTCTGCTCCCCTCCTGCTGCTACTGCCACCACCACAACTTCTAGTGCTGCTGCTGCTGCTGCGGCTGCAGCAGCAGGGAGAGCAGCAGGCATGGGGGCAGAGGGGGCGAGCATGAGGGGCACAGAGGCAGAGGCGGAGGCAGAGGAGGCGGCAGCAGTGGCGGTGGAGGCGAGGGCGGAAGGGGAGGAGGTGAGGGTGGTGAATGAGGAGGAGGCGGAGAGAGGAGTGTACTCCATCGACCAAGTCGTGCTGCCACTGCCAGGGTGAGTTCATCTGCTGATGCTTCTGGGATGGAGAGGGGCGGGTATGAGGGGGCGGGTATGAGGGGGCGGGTATGAGGGGGCGGGTATGAGGGGGCGGGTATGAGGGGGCGGGTATGAGGGGGCGGGTATGAGGGGGCGGGTATGAGGGGGCGGGTATGAGGGGGCGGGTATGAGGGGGCGGGTATGAGGGGGCGGGTATGAGGGGGCGGGTATGAGGGGGCGGGTATGAGGGGCGGGTATGAGGGGGCGGGTATGAGGGGGCGGGTATGAGGGGGCGGGTATGAGGGGGCGGGTATGAGGGGGCGAGCATGAGGGGCACTGAGGCAGAGGCGGAGGCCGAGGAGGCGGCAGCGGTGGCGGTGGAGGCGAGGGCAGAGGGGGAGGAGGTGAGGGTGGTGAGTGAGGAGGAGGCAGAGAGAGGGGAATGCTCCATCGACCAAGTTGTGTTACCACTGCCCGGGTGAGTGAGTGCTCTGACAGCCTGACCTGCCGGTTTTTTAGTCGACTCAGAAAAAGGAGGAGGCGGAAAGTGGGGTGTACTCCAACGACCAAGTCGTGCTGCCCCTGCCGGGGTGAGTGAGTGCTTCGACTTGAGTGTCCTCACAATCACTTTGCACTCCTTCTGATTCTGAGGGACTGGGCTCGCCTGGAGGAGGCGCAGAGAGGAGTCTACACCATTGACCAAGTCGTGCTGCCCTTCCAGGGGTGAGTGCGTGTTCTGGCTTGAGTGTCCTCACAAGCACTTTGCACTCCTGATTCTGAGGGACTGGGCTCGCCTGGCAAATAGCACAAACATATGGGCGTGGGTTGAAATCCCCGTAACCTATGCAGCATTGGAGGTGTGTGTGGCGTGCTTCTGCCCATGCATGAGGTGTTGAAAATGAACACACACGCGGATGCCTTTCCATTTTGACAGACGACAATGCCACTGCTTGCGTCTGGTTGACTTTTGAGTCGACTCAAAAGTCAACTTTCCATATTGACAGATGACAATGCCACTGCTTGCGTCTGGTTGACTTTTGAGTCGACTCAAAAGTCAACTTTCCATATTGACAGATGACAATGCCACTGCTTGCGTCTGGTTGACTTTTGAGTCGACTCAAAAGTCAACTTTCCATTTGACAGACGACAATGCCACTGCTTGCGTCTGGTTGACTTTTGAGTTGACTCAAAAGTCAACTTTCCATATTGACAGATGACAATGCCACTGCTTGCGTCTGGTTGACTTTTGAGTCGACTCAAAAGTCAACTTTCCATATTGACAGATGACAATGCCACTGCTTGCGTCTGGTTGACTTTTGAGTCGACTCAAAAGTCAACTTTCCATTTTGACAGACGACAATGCCACTGCTTGCGTCTGGTTGGCTTTTGAGTTGACTCAAAAGTCAACTTTCCATATTGACAGATGACAATGCCACTGCTTGCGTCTGGTATGGACCGGTCAAGCCCACTCCATTCTCTTCCCCTCCCCACCTCACCCGCCCTCCCTCTCCTCCCTCTCCTCCCTCTCCTCCCTCTCCTCCATCTCCCGCCCCACCCTCAGCTGTTCCATTCAGTACCCCACCAACTCCACAGCACAAGTCTTCCACTCTCTCGCTGCCAAGGTATGCCCTCTCCTGTCACTCTCTCCTTTGACCCTTCCCCTCCGTCCATCTCGCCCTACACCTGCTTTTCCACCTCGTCTTCTAGCTTGTCCCTATGGTAGCCTTCTACACCTTCCTATGGCGCCCGCCATGCCTGCAGCTGGCTCTGTAGACCACTCTGTACCGCGACAAATCCACTACTGACCTCTTCCTCCCTGCCCGTCTTCCCTGCTGTGTTGCTGTAACAAGGGAGCCCATCGCTAGCGGAAAAGGCAGCGTACCTGATTACCTTCTCTTCTGTTTTCATTCTGTTTATGGTTCTTCTCTTCTCATTCTTGAATCCTCATGCTTGTTCCCACCTCCCATCTTCCCACCCACCTCCCTGCTTCCTCTCTCCCTGCGTCCCTCCGCCACCACAGGATGGCATAGACCTCTTCACCAGCAAGCACAGTGTCAAGTGAGTCGTGGGTCTCGCATATGTGTATGCGTCGCAGGTGCATGAGTGCTGAGGCACCTTTAAGACCTTGTCTCCACCACGGCATAGTCATCTTCACCAGCAAGCACAGCACGCACACACATACGCTGCACACGCACCGCACGCACATACACATACACCGCACCGCCCATACTACCAGCCAATAGATACACCGCACCAGCCCAATAGACCTACCAGCCAATAGACCTACCAGCCAATAGCCAATAGACCAATAGACCTACCTGCCAATAGACCTACCAGCCAATAGACCTACCAGCCAATAGACCTACCTGCCAATAGACCTACCAGCCAATAGACCTACCTGCCAATAGACCTACCAGCCAATAGACCTACCTGCCAATAGACCTACCAGCCAATAGACCTACCAGCCAATAGACCTACCAGCCAATAGACCTACCAGCCAATAGACCTACCTGCCAATAGACCTACCTGCCAATAGACCTACCAGCCAATAGACCTACCAGCCAATAGACCTACCTGCCAATAGACCTACCTGCCAATAGACCTACCAGCCAATAGACCTACCAGCCAATAGACCTACCTGCCAATAGACCTACCAGCCAATAGACCTACCAGCCAATAGACCTACCTGCCAATAGACCTACCAGCCAATAGACCTACCAGCCAATAGACCTACCTGCCAATAGACCTACCTGCCAATAGACCTACCAGCCAATAGACCTACCAGCCAATAGACCTACCAGCCAATAGACCTACCAGCCAATAGACCTACCAGCCAATAGACCTACCTGCCAATAGACCTACCTGCCAATAGACCTACCAGCCAATAGACCTACCAGCCAATAGACCTACCAGCCAATAGACCTACCTGCCAATAGACCTACCTGCCAATAGACCTACCTGCCAATAGACCTACCAGCCAATAGACCTACCAGCCAATAGACCTACCTGCCAATAGACCTACCAGCCAATAGACCTACCAGCCAATAGACCTACCAGCCAATAGACCTACCTGCCAATAGACCTACCAGCCAATAGACCTACCAGCCAATAGACCTACCAGCCAATAGACCTACCTGCCAATAGACCTACCAGCCAATAGACCTACCAGCCAATAGACCTACCTGCCAATAGACCTACCAGCCAATAGACCTACCTGCCAATAGACCTACCAGCCAATAGACCTACCAGCCAATAGACCTACCTGCCAATAGACCTACCTGCCAATAGACCTACCAGCCAATAGACCTACCAGCCAATAGACCTACCTGCCAATAGACCTACCTGCCAATAGACCTACCTGCCAATAGACCTACCAGCCAATAGACCTACCAGCCAATAGACCTACCTGCCAATAGACCTACCTGCCAATAGACCTACCAGCCAATAGACCTACCAGCCAATAGACCTACCAGCCAATAGACCTACCTGCCAATAGACCTACCTGCCAATAGACCTACCAGCCAATAGACCTACCAGCCAATAGACCTACCAGCCAATAGACCTACCTGCCAATAGACCTACCAGCCAATAGACCTACCAGCCAATAGACCTACCAGCCAATAGACCTACCTGCCAATAGACCTACCTGCCAATAGACCTACCAGCCAATAGACCTACCAGCCAATAGACCTACCTGCCAATAGACCTACCAGCCAATAGACCTACCAGCCAATAGACCTACCTGCCAATAGACCTACCAGCCAATAGACCTACCTGCCAATAGACCTACCAGCCAATAGACCTACCAGCCAATAGACCTACCTGCCAATAGACCTACCAGCCAATAGACCTACCAGCCAATAGACCTACCTGCCAATAGACCTACCTGCCAATAGACCTACCTGCCAATAGACCTACCAGCCAATAGACCTACCAGCCAATAGACCTACCTGCCAATAGACCTACCTGCCAATAGACCTACCAGCCAATAGACCTACCAGCCAATAGAGACCTACCTACCAGCCAATAGACCTACCAGCCAATAGACCTACCTGCCAATAGACCTACCAGCCAATAGACCTACCAGCCAATAGACCTACCTGCCAATAGACCTACCTGCCAATAGACCTACCTGCCAATAGACCTACCAGCCAATAGACCTACCAGCCAATAGACCTACCAGCCAATAGACCTACCAGCCAATAGACCTACCAGCCAATAGACCTACCTGCCAATAGACCTACCTGCCAATAGACCTACCAGCCAATAGACCTACCAGCCAATAGACCTACCTGCCAATAGACCTACCTGCCAATAGACCTACCTGCCAATAGACCTACCTGCCAATAGACCTACCAGCCAATAGACCTACCAGCCAATAGACCTACCAGCCAATAGACCTACCAGCCAATAGACCTACCAGCCAATAGACCTACCAGCCAATAGACCTACCAGCCAATAGACCTACCTGCCAATAGACCTACCTGCCAATAGACCTACCAGCCAATAGACCTACCAGCCAATAGACCTACCAGCCAATAGACCTACCTGCCAATAGACCTACCTGCCAATAGACCTACCAGCCAATAGACCTACCAGCCAATAGACCTACCTGCCAATAGACCTACCTGCCAATAGACCTACCAGCCAATAGACCTACCAGCCAATAGACCTACCTGCCAATAGACCTACCTGCCAATAGACCTACCAGCCAATAGACCTACCTGCCAATAGACCTACCAGCCAATAGACCTACCTGCCAATAGACCTACCAGCCAATAGACCTACCAGCCAATAGACCTACCAGCCAATAGACCTACCTGCCAATAGACCTACCTGCCAATAGACCTACCAGCCAATAGACCTACCAGCCAATAGCCATACCAGCCAATAGACCTACCTGCCAATAGACCTACCTGCCAATAGACCTACCTGCCAATAGACCTACCAGCCAATAGACCTACCAGCCAATAGACCTACCTGCCAATAGACCTACCTGCCAATAGACCTACCAGCCAATAGACCTACCAGCCAATAGACCTACCTGCCAATAGACCTACCTGCCAATAGACCTACCAGCCAATAGACCTACCTGCCAATAGACCTACCAGCCAATAGACCTACCTGCCAATAGACCTACCAGCCAATAGACCTACCAGCCAATAGACCTACCTGCCAATAGACCTACCTGCCAATAGACCTACCAGCCAATAGACCTACCAGCCAATAGACCTACCAGCCAATAGACCTACCAGCCAATAGACCTACCAGCCAATAGACCTACCTGCCAATAGACCTACCTGCCAATAGACCTACCAGCCAATAGACCTACCAGCCAATAGACCTACCAGCCAATAGACCTACCTGCCAATAGACCTACCTGCCAATAGACCTACCTGCCAATAGACCTACCAGCCAATAGACCTACCAGCCAATAGACCTACCTGCCAATAGACCTACCTGCCAATAGACCTACCAGCCAATAGACCTACCAGCCAATAGACCTACCTGCCAATAGACCTACCTGCCAATAGACCTACCAGCCAATAGACCTACCTGCCAATAGACCTACCAGCCAATAGACCTACCTGCCAATAGACCTACCAGCCAATAGACCTACCAGCCAATAGACCTACCAGCCAATAGACCTACCTGCCAATAGACCTACCTGCCAATAGACCTACCAGCCAATAGACCTACCAGCCAATAGACCTACCAGCCAATAGACCTACCTGCCAATAGACCTACCTGCCAATAGACCTACCTGCCAATAGACCTACCAGCCAATAGACCTACCAGCCAATAGACCTACCTGCCAATAGACCTACCTGCCAATAGACCTACCAGCCAATAGACCTACCAGCCAATAGACCTACCTGCCAATAGACCTACCTGCCAATAGACCTACCAGCCAATAGACCTACCTGCCAATAGACCTACCAGCCAATAGACCTACCTGCCAATAGACCTACCAGCCAATAGACCTACCAGCCAATAGACCTACCAGCCAATAGACCTACCTGCCAATAGACCTACCTGCCAATAGACCTACCAGCCAATAGACCTACCAGCCAATAGACCTACCTGCCAATAGACCTACCTGCCAATAGACCTACCAGCCAATAGACCTACCAGCCAATAGACCTACCAGCCAATAGACCTACCTGCCAATAGACCTACCTGCCAATAGACCTACCAGCCAATAGACCTACCAGCCAATAGACCTACCTGCCAATAGACCTACCTGCCAATAGACCTACCAGCCAATAGACCTACCAGCCAATAGACCTACCAGCCAATAGACCTACCTGCCAATAGACCTACCAGCCAATAGACCTACCAGCCAATAGACCTACCAGCCAATAGACCTACCAGCCAATAGACCTACCTGCCAATAGACCTACCAGCCAATAGACCTACCAGCCAATAGACCTACCAGCCAATAGACCTACCTGCCAATAGACCTACCTGCCAATAGACCTACCAGCCAATAGACCTACCAGCCAATAGACCTACCAGCCAATAGACCTACCTGCCAATAGACCTACCTGCCAATAGACCTACCAGCCAATAGACCTACCAGCCAATAGACCACCAGCCAATAACCTACCTGACCTACCTGCCAATAGACCTACCAGCCAATAGACCTACCAGCCAATAGACCTACCAGCCAATAGACCTACCTGCCAATAGACCTACCTGCCAATAGACCTACCAGCCAATAGACCTACCAGCCAATAGACCTACCAGCCAATAGACCTACCTGCCAATAGACCTACCAGCCAATAGACCTACCAGCCAATAGACCTACCTGCCAATAGACCTACCAGCCAATAGACCTACCAGCCAATAGACCTACCTGCCAATAGACCTACCAGCCAATAGACCTACCTGCCAATAGACCTACCAGCCAATAGACCTACCAGCCAATAGACCTACCTGCCAATAGACCTACCAGCCAATAGACCTACCAGCCAATAGACCTACCAGCCAATAGACCTACCTGCCAATAGACCTACCAGCCAATAGACCTACCAGCCAATAGACCTACCAGCCAA